CTCTCCCCCTCTCCCTTCTTCTGTGAAATCAATAAAAATATACTTTTTAAAAAAATTAAAAGTTGGTTAAAATGTTAGACATACCTACTATTTATATGTATCTGGCGTCGCCTACGTGCTGCGGAATTTAAAGAAATATACACATGCCCTGATTCTGATTTAATTAGACTTGGTGGGACCGGGCTGGTTTTTTTTTTTAGTTTCTCAGGTGGGTCAATAACCAGTCAAAGCTGAATGGAAAACATTAGGGGCTTAAAATTCATCAGTAAATAAATCTGCCCTTAGTGGAAGCCAGTGTTCTCTTGCCATGTTATTCAATTGTAAGTGTATGTTTTAATGATGGGTAAGCAGCGTACCATATAAGTTTAATTGCCATTAGTAATGAAGAGGCATTGTTACACTTTATTTTTATTTTTTTAATATATTTCTTTTAAAAAACATTTCTTTATTGATTTCAGAGAGGAAGAGACAAGGAAAGAGAGAGATAGAAACATCAATGATGAGAGAGAAACATGGATCAGCTGCCTCCCGCACACCCCGCCCTGGGGATCGAGCCCGCAACTCAGGCATGTGCCCTTGGCCGGAATCGAACATGGGACCCTTCAGTCCCCAGGTCGACGCTCTATCCACTGAGCCAAGCCAGCTAGGGCCATTGTTACACTTTAATGTGTTCTAGGATATTGTGCCTTATTCTTTTTAAAGATGGGAGTTTATTTGTCCCGTAAACAAAACTAACCAAACAACCCTTTTGATATTTAGTTACTTGAATACTCTTAAATTAAAATACGTGTTGCAGTAGTAGTGAAAATGGTAAATGGGGATGGGGATCAAGAGAAAAAAGATTCATGCATGGTCTGTTAATGTTACAGATGTGGGAAGAATATCCGGATGTTTATGGGGTTAGGCGGTCAAACCGAAGCAGACAAGAACCATCACGATTTAATATTAAGGAGGAGGTAAGAAAAAGAAATGTTTTAAGGGGGTATATTGAAGCTCCTTACCTTACCTTATCCTTTC